GGGAATGTATTTGTAATGTATAAGAAGTGGGACTGCAGTTCATTGACTCTAAAACCCCATTAATTGTAGGATATACCAGCATTTTATAGGCTAGTAAGAAAGGAAAACATTGATATTTGGACTACAGTAATGCTCTCTTCTCACTTTGAAATGTTATACCTGGACGAATGCCAGGAAAAGCAAGTGGCTGAGAAATCGAAACTAGTGGGGAAGGAGAGGGCCCACTGAAAACCATCCCATCAACCCGACCACAGCTGGTGTTCCCTGGACAGCATGAACCACACTGTCCAAACCTTCACTCCCGCCAACACTGACCGTCCCCCCAACTATGAGATGCTGAAGGAGGACCATGAGGTGGCTGTGCTGGAGGCGCCACACAACCCTGCTCCCCCGACATCCACCGTGATCCACATCTTCAGTGAGACCTCTGTGCCCAACTATGTCATCCGGTCCCTGTTCAACACCCTCTTCATGAACTCCTGCTGCCTGGGCTTTATAGCGTTAACCTACTCCCTGAAGTCTAGGGACAGGAAGATGGTTGGCGACCTGACCGGGGCTCAGGCCTATGCATCCACTGCCAAGTACCTGAACATCTGGGCCTGATTTTGGGCATCGTCATGACCATTCTGCTGATTATCATCACAATACTGATTTTGCAAGCCTATCAATAGCTCAACAAGAATGATCTAGGTCAGGGGCTCTGCCTGTGACCTGTTTCCCACGTATTCAACCTTCCATTCCTCACCCTGCCCCTGAGCCGAGTCCTGTATCAGCCCTTTACCCTCACACACTTTTCTAAAATGGCATTAAATAAACTGCATGTGTTGCTGGTAAAATAAATAAATAAAAGAAAAAAAAAAAGAAAACTTAGTGTGTTAGTTTAAGGAAATTTTTAATCTACACTCACAGGTTGCAAAAAGATTAAAAAACAACAACAACAACAACAAAACCGTAAGAGAGGAACACTGTTTCCCAAGGGAGCCAGTCAGAAATTACTTTTACTTTTGAATAGACACAAAATCAGTGCTAATAGAAGAAAAGATTAACATGTGGGAACAGAGAATACTGAAGAGCTT